CATAGTGGCGGTAGCGGATGGAGACGAAGATGGAGGGAGCGTCGCTAGTATGCAGTTGGGTACACTATAGAAATTGATGGGGATGTGAATGGTGTCATCGCCGTTGTCACCTGCGCTGTCTTTTGTGGTGTAGCCTGGTATACGGCTGAGTTTTGGCGGATTGGGGTTTTCGTCATCGTCGTCGTTGCTAGAGAAAAGGGGGATTTGATCTTGTCCGTTGTTCATGTGGATTTGGTTCTGATGGTGGTTGTTACTATAGTCATCGTTTACAATGATACCAGAGTCTATCGCCTGCTGTTCGGGCGGGGAGAGGAAAGCCGACGCGGAAAGAGTCGACTGCGGCATTTTGGTTAGGATTTTCATTTGCCGATTTAGGACCTCGAGGACCTGTTTGGCTTTTTCGAGCTGTATGTCTTTGACGTAGCGGAAGCCAGATGTAAATGGGGATAGCATGTAGGCTGAATCTCTCGTGAACGGGCCCTTGAAAAGGTCGAAGCGGATGGCGCCTGTGTTGATGATGGCCATACCGGTCTTGTTAGCACGCAAACCCGTGCGGAGGATGTCAGGAAGAACCCGATTTTCTAGCCAGCTGTATACGCTTGCATTGTGGGGGTATGGCGCGCGGGACATCCATAAGTTATGCGTCGCGCAGCCGTATGTGTGGTCTAAATTCAGAGCGAGTCTGGCATCCTCAATCATTTTCGAGACATTCTTGCCTTGCTCAGTCGGGAAAGTGGATTTGTTGAGCCCTGTGTGGTAGTAGAAGGACCAGAGATTATTGTCGATGTATCTGCGGAAGAAGGACAGATTGGCTGAGGCTGGTGATTTCTTGCCACCGGTCGATACGCCATTTATTGAAGCGAAGCCAATTGTTTCCATGAACCGGCCGCTGGCAAGGCCATAAGCCTTTTCATCGTATTTGGCATAATCCCTAATATGCAAATGGCCACCGAAAAAATGTATTGGGGTGTCCCAATTCATCCCCCGAATAGCTTTGTAGATGGTTGTATACTCCTCCGACTGCACAGCAACATGCCCAATCACGAGGAAGAGATCCACATCCTTGTCTCGAATAGCGTCTTGAAACCACTGTTCCTTGACTGCTTCTTCGACAGGTTGCACAATGGTATTGTTGTAGTTCTGCTTGAAATCAAACAGGAATCCAAATGCCACGATGCGTATGCCCTGCTTCTCTGTAGTGAACTTTTTGAAACGAAGGGCTAAGGGTACAAGTTGGCCGGATTGGGGGTCAATAATGTCGATGTTTGAGGACAGATAATTTCCTTTAAAATTGGGAACCGTAATGAGGTACTCATCTTCAGAAGAATTCTGCTTGTATAGCTCATGGTTGCCGGAGCATATGACGTCGATATGTTGTTGTGTAAAGATGTCTGCGGTATAGAGACCCTTTGGATCTGAGCTATCGTAGAGCCCATTTCCTTCTATTCGATCGCCCGTGTCTATCAAGAGTAAATCTGCTCCCTCCGCTTCGACCATTTTTCGTATATGGCTGGCAAATGAGATGTAATCCCCCCAGTCGGCACCGTATGAAGCTCTGAGTTACCAATGGAACAGTTAGCTTGGGTCTCCTCGCCCACCTGTCCAGGGACTGAGCGACTCTTACTCTTGGGGATGGCCACTAAGCCAGCCATGAGTATCGGTCGTATGAAGGAAATTAACCTGGCCAAATGTCAGATTCCGCATTGGGGCCGGTATAGGATCAGGAGCAGAAGATTGCACAGCGAGTGCAGAGGTGGAGAGCCCCAAAAGGGCAAGGAGGAATAAGTTCATGGCTGTTTCAAGTAAATATATAAACAAGATAAGAATAACATAGCCCAAAATCTATGTCTATATATTGATAATTAACCAGCCATCGCTCTCAGTCTGGGGATGTCAGTTCTTATCATATCGGAACCTATAGTTAGATAGTCAACTAACTATTAGTTAACTAACTATTGGAGATGAACAAGCGTTTTACGTCAGCAGAGCTGGGCAGATGACGTCGTTGAGCTGTCGCTGGTTTAAGGTTTATGGGACGGGCTAACTGTTAACGGAATGGTGATAACCTTAAGTATTTATATTCTGCTGACTAAATGCCAGATGGTGAATAACTTAGTGCGCCATGTGAGCGGGTCGCTCTGCTAGCTTCCTATTGGTTGACTGGTGCTCAATCCCATGGAACACATTGGATAGCCGAAGCTTATTAGCCAATGACCGCTTGGTAAATATTCACGTGACACAGCTCTTTGCTGAGTCAGCTCCATGGGTAAGCCCAACAAGTTCAACGCCAAGACGCCCTAATCCGGAAATATACAACACCGGGCTACCTCTCATCGTCCAAGCACCGACTCTCATCAGCAAGCTGCGGATTGTCTCATTGTTGCGTCTCAATTCTTCCGTTTCCTCTGCCAACAACTTCTTTATTTCTGTGTCTATTTCTCTCTACTTTTCTGTTCGTTGTATTCTTTCCTCACCTTTTTCATTGGCTCCTCCTTTGTCTCCAATGGCCACCCCAAGACTGCTGAGGCCGGCTTCCCGCCTGGTATCATCACGGCTCTGCTCCGCCCCACTCCGCTTAGCTTTCAGACCTGCAGTATGTGCTCCTTCAGCTCTCCAGCGGCGGGCATATGCGACGCCAAGCGGGACGAAAGAAATGACTGTCAGAGATGCCCTCAACGACGCTCTGGCGGAAGAGTTCCAGGCCAACGAGAAGGTGTTCATTTTGGGAGAGGAGGTCGCACAATATAACGGAGCGTTCGTGGTCCCTTCTTTACTCACATATATATTGCAAATATTTGTTGGAGGTTATTAACTTCTTCGGGGCATTCAGATACAAAGTAACAAAAGGCCTACTAGACCGATTTGGCCCAAAGCGAGTCATCGATACCCCCATCACAGAAGCCGGATTTTGCGGTTTAGCGGTTGGAGCTGCTTTAGCTGGTTTACAGCCGGTGGTTAGTGACATTATATCTTAATGTAGGAGCTGTATGCTGAATCGTGTCTGATCTAGTGCGAATTTATGACCTTCAACTTTGCCATGCAAGCAATCGACCAAATCGTTAACTCCGCGGCCAAAACACACTATATGTCGGGCGGTATCCAACCATGTAACATAACCTTCCGAGGCCCCAACGGATTCGCTGCTGGTGTTGCTGCCCAACATTCCCAGGACTACTCCGCATGGTATGGATCTGTTCCAGGTCTGAAAGTGGTCGCTCCGTGGAGCGCAGAGGATGCAAAGGGCCTTCTTAAGGCTGCTATCCGCGATCCTAACCCAGTTGTTTTTCTCGAGAATGAGTAAGTAAACAATTTATATGTTGTACTACGCTATGGATAACGAAATCAAGCTAATCAATTTGACTCTATAGACTCATGTACGGTCAATCATTTCCCATGAGCGAAGCCGCGCAAAGAGACGACTTCGTCCTACCCCTTGGCAAAGCCAAATTCGAACGCATCGGCAAGGACCTAACCATTGTCTCTCTTTCCCGCTGTGTCGGCCAAGCCATTGCTGCGGCTGAAGAGCTGAAGCAGAAATATGGCGTCGAGGCGGAGGTGATCAACCTACGCTCCGTCAAGCCACTGGACGTGGAGGCCATCATCAAGTCTGTCAAGAAGACCGGCCATCTAATGGCCGTTGAGTCAGGGTTCCCAATGTTCAGTGTCGGTTCTGAAATTCTTGCTCTGTCAATGGAGTACGCTTTCGATTACCTGAAGGCTCCTGCTGTCCGTGTTACCGGTGCCGAAGTCCCCACCCCATACGCTGTCAAGTTGGAGGAGATGAGTTTCCCACAGAATGATACGATCATCTCGCACGCTGCTAAGTTGCTCCGGGTGTAACAATAGGAAAAGAACGATAGAACAATCATATGTATATCTTACACCATGAGAGCTGCACCAAGCGAATCGGTTTCATTTCTTCTATTTCCTCCGTAGTTCCCTTTCTCAATACTCATACCTGTCGATGACAGTTAGGAGTGAAGGATGGAAAGAACAGGAAACGGATATTATAACAGAATATTTAGTAAATCTAGGAAGCACACCTTCTGTGCATTACATAACCCGTTTGCTATCGCCAGTCACCACCAAATTTTTTTTCAACTTTGGCTTTTTGAGCTAGGCCTTCGTGTCTGCTTCTTAATTTTCTTGAACAGTTCTCCTCATGTACCCAATTTAAGACTTGCGGTTCTTTTTGGGATTTTGGCCCTTCCATTTCTGCTTGGATGACTACTTTATCTTACCCACTACATACGACGCATATTATATTGAATAGTAATTTACATCTACAGTTACAGTTTACACATACCTTCTGGCTAAGGTTACATAGATCCCAAAAAACCAACTAGTGATATATACACTTTTACGTTGCATATTGCGGACCAGAACTACTTGGGTCCTATCATGATTGATCTGATATGCGGAACTGATGAGGATTTAGGATTCGTGGAATAGGCATATCATCTTTTAGTTGACTGCTGATTATAACTGTGAATGCTGCAATATTATGTGAAAAGGAGTGTATATCACTAGCAAAAAAAAAAAAAAAGCAAAGAACAGATATTCCATATCTGAAGCTAACAGAAGTGAGCCTTATATGTCAGACAAACTTATGAAACAAGGACATTTAACTACATGATAGCATGGCAAACAAGCATGGCATATCCAAAACAATTCTAATACATTCTCCTTCTCTGCTGCAAATACTAACAAATCGCTATTTCAATTTGATTCTCCCATATCTTCTTACGATATCCCCTGCCTTTTACACACCTCATCACCTAAATGTAAAACATGGAATCTTTCATCCTCGCATGAACAATCACTTCACACTCACTTTGCTTTCTCACCCTCACCTTCACCCTCCTTCACCTCTGCCTTCTGCTCAAACAACACGCTCAAATAACACCCAGCCCTTGAACAAACTTAAGAAGCGTAATAAGCCGGAGGACAGATACTTACTGCTTTCTTTGTGCGGCCAAGCAAGTAGCACATATTATGCGTCAGCGCTTCGACGGCATCTGCGACATTTCCACCAGGGCGAGTACGACACTCGACATCGCCGACGCTGCAGCTGTTGACCTGACCTCGTCGTCGACGATGTAGTAATGGCCCGGGCGCGCAGTCCCTTGAAGCGCTGTGTGCGATTCTAGGAAGTCCCAGTTGCGGACGTCAGTGACTCCACGGTCAACAACGGCGCCATTTTCGCGGGTTGAAGGAGTGGTCTGCGTCGCCTAGCTCGGAGGGGAAGAAAAACAGGTATTATATCACTTGCCGACAATGATGATGCTTTATGCGCAGGTAGCCGGATTTTGATATCTGTGGCCGAGTAGAGGGAGGCGCTTGCTTTTTGGAGAAGTGGGAGTTCATTGTTGAGGACGACCTGATACTGGCCTTCCGAGACACCGCCACAGTGTACGAGGATATACGAGGATGTTTTCTGGGTAATTTTGCTGGTGGTGCTTGGCCCAGAGTTTCAGGCGGGTTTCCAGAAGGTCGTCGAGCGCTGAGACCATTTCCTGGCGGTAGGTTTGGATGCGGAGGTCTGCAGGCCATTGGGCCAGCTGGCTGTTGATGGATGCAATAATGCCAGCGATGCTGGGAGTGTTAGAGGCGGAGCCTGGAGAAGGGTGGGTAACGTCGGTGGCGACGACCATGGTTTTGTTATAGGAAATGAGGGCCAGCTTTTTTTTGGCTCCGGTGGTTGTTTATGCCGCCGAGCTTGAAGTTGAATTTGAGTGCAACATGAGAAAAATACATGGCATTAATTGGTTTGGCGAACTTGCTGGCAACGGCGCAAACGCTGTGCACGCCAAATTTAACATTGCTGAGGTCCTTGATGCTATTGTATATGGGGCTTGCAATTGGGAGAATAAAACAAGTTAATCTGCAGCCGCGCATCTGTTTTAATCAGTTTCTCGATTTGGAGCTCAACCGCTTGCTCATCGTCCTTTGGAACGATAACAATCTTCGGTTTTTCAACGCTCATGCCGACTTCTTGAAACCTGATGAAAAATCAGCTCAAAGTCAGAGTCGCGAAATTCTGTACCCCAGGCCCGGGGGATTGATTGAGAATGTGGCGATTGATTCAACTGACATGTCCAATTTGCAGGTGTTTTGCGGTCGAAAATTTGTTATTATGCATGTTCCAGCTGCCAAAAGAAGTGTTTGTCGGCCTGTCATTTTTCATGGAAACTTTTGTACCTGATTTGGGGTCCTTTCAAGCCCCTTGCGGGCACTGCAATCAGTTCTGGTGTGGAGCTTGAGCCCAAACTCCCTTAAGATGAAACATTGTTAACTTCCAGACAGGGGTGAATAGAAAACATGTCGAATCTACTTACCACCGTAGACCTCCCAAGGAGGAGCGACGCCTATAATCTGTGACCCCTTTTAGTTTATTGACTCTGCATTCTGTGAAGGCTTTGCGAACAGCAAACCTGATCATTTGCTGAGTTTGGGCTGGGCTTAAATGTCATGTTAGAAGCCTGGGCAGACAATATAATACTGGCATGAGGAGGGAAATATCTCGGGCGCTGCCAGCTTCCGATATTGATGACGGGAAAATAGGGATCTGCCACAATTATGCCATGAGCTACAAAAGATATTAGCTTATCATTCCCTTCGCCATACAGGGTAGATGCTCGCAATTGCGGAAATAATCGTAGTCGCTCACACAACTACGAGATGGCTCTTCGGCATCGTCATCCACCCTGTAAAACTTCACTTCTCTGGATCCTGTGCCTGTTCTCGGCATTCTTGGCACCTGGTACATCTTGTCGCCATCACAAAACGGTAGCCAGGACAAGAACTGGTCTGATTGTGAGGATTTCACGACCGTCAGGGGGGATCCTTTTCGTATGAGTGGCCTTGACACGGACTGATTTCAAGAATCTGTCCAACATTTCCATGCTCTTCGTGTCACGGCCATTATTCTTCAAGAATGATTCAACCTCGGAAAGAGGACCTTTAGTGAAACACGCAGCATGTTTAGCCTGAACGTTGAGTAGAATGCGGGCCGTAGGGGCTCGGACATTGATGGAGAATCCTCACAATGCCTCAAGCCCAGCAGTCAAGCTCAGCTTTTCTGCATCTGGCAACCCAACAAGAAAATGATTTTTTGAGCCGATGTTGCTGATATCTTCTGCCCTCTTAGGGTAATGTCCCATCACGATGTTCAGTGCCTGAATGACTCCCTCTTTTCCACTGAATATTGAGCTTGCATTGGTAGAGGAAAAGGCGGTCGACCAGTTCAACAAGTTGCAGAGTCCCAGAAAAGTCGACACGAACGTAGCAAGTTCTAGCGTATGCTGGGGGCTCATCCTCACCCTCCGCGCGCAGTATTTGATGGAATAAGACGGGTACTCATCAAACCTATGATTTGCGCTGCTGATCAGTATGGCCTTAAGAGTCAGTTGCGATGTTCTTGCTGAATGCAGGAAACTGTTGCTCTATCAAAAGACAGATTTAGCTGCTCAGCTTTTCCAACGGATAGGAAGATTTCCCCCTCCCATCTGAGCAAATGACGATTCCGTATCAGAAGAGAGTATTCACGATTTTCTGTGCTTCACTTTATAGTTTGGGAATGTTGATTGGATATCTTAAGGCAGAGCCATATGTATTAGTTATTACCGGTATATGTTTATAACCAAAAATGGGAGACAGGCCATCTTTCGAGAAGATATTCGGGATTGATGACAAGCTACATCTCTGATTCCCTCTACCCTGACCTCCTCCCCCAACCCCAGGCCCCCCACTACCGTCACCACCAGCAGCGCCGTGGCCACACCCAGGATCATGGTCACCCCGCCATCAACCTCTCCTTCCCTTCCATTGTGGTTTGCCTGCCATTTCTGAAAAATTATAAGATATGGACAGGATAGAATAAGCTTCCAAGCACTTTAAAAATCATGCATATGATGATGTATCGTTACATACGCAGTTCTCGGTGAGCACGGGGGAACGGAGGCACGATGAGCCACCGCAGGGTTGGAAGAGCTCTTCAACGGTAAATATGTATATATATACGTATATGTAAATATATACCTGTCTGCCATTTGCAAACAGAAGCAGCCCCAATGATGTAGACCGTAGCTCGAATTTGAGGGAATTTTTGAAGGTTTCCGGTCTCCACTTGCATCCAGTTGGCGGAGTCTTTCCTGGTCTCTGGGGTGGTAAGAAGGGGAAACAAAACAAGGGAAGAGGGAAACCTAAACTGACGGTTTGTTATCTCCCCTTTCCAGGCACATTGAGTATCAATGAAACCAGGGTCCTTCATTGGTGGCGGATCGCCTCCCTTGATTTCAGCATGCCGGTACTAAGGAAAGGTGAGAAAAATGATAAGGAAAAGGGGACAAACCGAACAAAAAGCTGGAGAGGAGGCAAGCAGGAGAGGAGGAACACGGATACAGCAAATGTAAAAAGAGGGCTTTGGATGCCTGGATTCAACATGTTTAGCGAACTTCTACTATATTCTCGTTCTCTCATTCACTTTCTTTCCCAAGGATCTTTCCGTGGATGCCTTTAACAGGGCAGACATTTATCCACGAGAAACTCGTGTTCAACCCAGGCCCACAGGCCAGCGCTTTGAGAAACGTCATCGTTTCACCCTCACCTCTGGAGTTGGACGGTTTGTTCTTCAAGATCCAATCCGGCGTGGTCCACGTTGGGCAACGGAGTGATTTTGAGGAAGATGCAGAGTGTCATTGAATTGGAATTTATCCCTGCTCGATTGAAAGGGATGGGGATTCCATCTCTTCTTGTCAAGCAGGAGAGTCAACATAAGCAAACAGCTAACTTAGATAACTAGGGTTGATTGATTAATTAGCTAGTTAACTTGCTGATAATTAAGAAGAGAGGTTGGGATTGTGCCAACGTAAATAAACGACTTTCAGCGAGTTGGCAGTTTAACCCCCCTAAATCAGCTATACATATTGTTAAGGGTCCTCCTATATTCTATTGAAGTGATTGATCTCTTTGACCCCAATGGTATTCTCACAGCTTCGTTTCTATGTAGAAATTAATTTAATCTGCGAAAGATAATATATAGTTAATAGAACTCCCATGAGTCTGCAGGATGCCAGTGCCTTCAGGTTCTGAGCACCTGAAACTGAAGAAATCTCAAGACAAACGTGGATGAAATGCCCCAAAAGATCTTCCAGGGTTTAGAAACCTGGCATCTGTCATAACTACATCGAACACTCAAAGGGCAGCAAAGTACAGATTCTTTGAAGCTCTGAAAGACCCGTTCAGTCTACACTTCCGGCATTCTACCGCCCGTCCTGTTCACTGAATGACTCAAGTTTCAGTTGCTTTCCGGTCCTCGAAACGCTGTGCTGCCGCTATTTAAACCGGTCTATCTGCGGTGCGATGGTCAAAAGCCTCATGGGAGTTGGGATGTACGCCGTGTTTCTACGGCCAAGGTCTCAATCCGGATACCCACCCCATCGAGTGATATGTGAACCCAGACTTTGAGGAAGAGTTCGAATTTTGGAAGCACCGGAAGTACCATTCTCAAAAAGGCAAACTGATGCCCCAACTACATCATTATCGGATCATTGAGGAAAATGGAAAACTTCCCCAAAGGAGATAGTTATGTTCTGAGACTTGTATTTATGTATTTAACTAGCATTTGCTAAATATTGATCCACTCAAACTCCCCTCTGCTGTAGAGGCCCTGAGACATCCCTTTGTTCCTCATGCTCAGTTATCATAGCTGAGGAGGTGATCCCTGACATTCTTGGAATTGCCATCGATGAAGTGAGGTTCCAACGATTGAGAGGAAGATTCAGCGTCTGGTAGACACAGAAGGTGCCGTCTTTCGGGTACTAGTGAACCGTGCTGAGTGCCAGAGATGAATCGTTTTAAACACCCCGCGCCTACTTATGCCGCGCTCGATATGCCAATTTACACCACAGCAGCATACTTATTGTGTTAAAAAAAAAGAAAGGAAAGGAAGAACGTTGAATTTTTGGTTAAAACCAATAAAAAAACAGAGGGGAGTAGAAAGGGGAAACCTCATGGATCATATCATACAACAACCAACAAACTTCGATCCATATTACCGACCATATTAAACCCATAGTTCAATCCGACGCAAGGGAGCTCCATTAGGTTCGCACCGGATGAAACTCAGAAGGGGAAATTATATCATGAAAATTTCAGCGGCTAAAGGAAAGTCTCACCTGCGATGATCAGAAACAGACAAAAAGAAAATTGAAGCCCTTAGTTCTCATCCTTACACTCTGACCCGAACCTCCTCTCCCTCTCAGCAACACTCATGCCGTCACTCCCACTCCTATTTCCGCTACCGCCGGCGGCATCAACCTCCGCCCCCTTTCCCACTTTCCCCACCTCCTCCGCAATCTTCTCAATCTCCCCAATCTTCCCCACAACCCCCTCACTAAACCTCTGCATCCCCATCTCCTCGAGTTGAAACGGGGGGATGAATTTCAAACTGGCTTTCCAAAGCTCATCAAACAGCACCCTCAGCTCTCCAGCCCGTGATTTCAGCGCCAATGACACCTGCCTCGCCGCGGCCGCCGTTGTCGAATTCGACGACAAACTGCTCAATCCTGGACAGGGAACTAACAAAGCAAGTGACGACGATGATGGCCCCTGACCACCCACGCGTAGCGTCAGTGGCTCACCATCAACCAGGTCTGGAGCGCATGCTACAGAGACTGCAGCAGCCTGCTGCATTTCCACCCTTTTCCTCATCTCCTCAAGCTCAGCCTCCATCTCTGCCATGCGATTCTCCATCTCAGCAATGAGACGGAGTTGGTCCCGTTCGCGGATTGCGAGGGCATCGGCGCGCTCGCGCTCGGCAGGACAGGACTTCGCTAAGTTGTATATGTAGGTCCAGTCAGCAAAGTTGACGCGATCAAAACGGATTTTGGATCCGACGTCATTTGAGGAGATGGGAGTGGCGCCTGGAGTGGTGCCTGGCGTTCCCGTTGGTGGAAGGGGGTGCAATGGTGCTGGTGCTGATGCAGCTGCAGATACTGGGATTGAGGTTGGGGCTGGGAAGGCAGTGGGAGCGGGCGGTTGGTTTGCACCAACTGGCCCGGAAGATGATGAAGGTTTGCGAGAGCGGTTGGTGGTTGCGTCAGAGCCCGTGAGTGGGGTTGTGGGCCGCGATGATGTGCTGATCCTGGGCCGCTTGGTTGGGCGCTTTTCTGGCCCAATGCTCATTGAAGCTGCAGTAGCTGTTCCTAGGCTCTTTCGAGCCGATGTTGATGATGGTGCCGAGACCGGTTTCGGTTTCGGTTTGCTGGCTAGGGTGCTTGGTGGGTTCTGGTTTGATGTGTCAGTGTTTGATTCATGTAATGGGTATTGGGAAGGGGGAAGGGGGAAGGGGGAATGGGTTCTAACTAGATCGGGCCCCGCGGATGTGTTTTCGGTTTGATAAGGGAGGTCACCGCCTTCACTCTCGGTATCGAAGTCTTCTAGTTCGCTTTCGGTATAGAGCTTTTCAAGCGAATACCGGGACTTGCGAATCCGGGGTTGCATATTGCTTGGGAGATTGACAGACGAGATATTTGGCTAAAAGGAGGTTACCTATGCAAATACTCCCCATAATGGCACAAGAACTTCCGTTAGGATAGAGAATATTTACCAATTCATTTTTATCAGCCAGCTTTCTCGCTTCCTAGGTGCAAGGTTAGTTAAATATGCAGGAGCCGAAGATGATCATGATAGATACGGCATCCGCGAGATTAATGCGGGGACCGAATTCCGATTTTGATATATGTATGTCACTTACATAGAACTTGAACCTCACTCGCGTATGATAGTTGGGGTAGAATTTCTGAAGATAACAGACAAAAAGGGACAAAAAATATTCACATATCAGTAAAACGATTCAGACACTGGAATAGTTGGAAGTAGAAAAATTGATATTTCCGAACGCACTTCCTGAAATTCATCCCAGTTCAGCCTGGAGTTCTGAAGACGAATAACGTAAAGTTCAGCAAGGCGATCAAGTGGCCAATCATCTTTTTTATGAGAATGTTGCTGCTGTTGTGGAGTCTGCAGTGGTGTGTGCTGTTGAGCACTATTCTTTGGTGCAGGAGAGCCAAATGTGGACTGCTCGTCCATAGGAGAGTGTAGATTTGGCATGATGGCAGAGAGCGAATGATGCGGTAATGTTTAACTATATGATAAGAGAAGAGACTAGAGCGTTGGGGAACTCAGATGAGGAGGTCAGATGGAGCTGGGATCAGTTGTTTGATGGTGACTTGTTTCATTGACGTCAGTCTACGGTCCATCAGCCACCGTGGTCACTTCCGACCCTCTTTCACGGGTTAGGTAATTATTGTTTCAGGTGATTAACCAAATGGATGAATGAGATGAGCAGCGAGGCCGAGGGCATTAATGGTACCTCATATGAGGGTTTGTGCTGAGAAGAAAGTTGAATGGCTCGAAGAGCTGGCAGCATATTTATTCAGGTTTACCAACAAGACTGCTAGCGGGTATGAAACCCTTTCCTCCCTCGCCGGCCCCCCCCCCCCCCCAAAAAAAAACCCCCATCCCAGAATCTCCAGAAATAAAATAGGAGACAAACGTCTTCCAGTATGTACGTACATTGGGACATGCTCTCTCGTGCTCTCTCTCACCGCTTCCCTCTCGTCTCTCTCTTATCTCCAGAACTGAATTTGCTGGTGGTCTCGTAAGTTAATAATGTACGCACTTCAGCAGGTTGTCTGTTATAGTTATCTTGTTACGTTATCTCGAACAACTTAAATAATGATCAAACCCAAACCTTAAGTCCCGCGCCTAACTCGCTAAGAGTTACTGAGCAGGGTGGCCCTATCAATGGGTTGTGGACCCACACCCTAAGAATACGCAAAACCCAAAACTGGACTTAGAGACTTTGTTTTATAGACTGCTCCTAGCCGAGAGCTTAAGTGGAACCTTAGGGGCGGGCATGTCTTCAAGTCCCAACTGAAAGCATCCAGCTGGAAGAGAGAGCCAGCTGAAGCCCCCAAGATTTGGTTACGCCAAAGTAATTTGCGGCCCTTTTCGTGTCGGCGACTCAAAACTTCGGTAGCGACCGCCCCCGTACAGATATGAGGATGATAAAGACGAAAAAGTCAGGGAGAATCAACAAGTTTTGGGGTTGATGCATGACAAGACGTCTGGAGGTGGATATACACACAGACAGACAGACAGACAGACAGACATCTGTATTTTATATATTATATTTTTAGACTGTTTATGTCGGTTGCCAGCGACTTCGACCCGAATTCCATGGTTTTACGTCTGCTATCAAAAGAGCATTTTCACCGAGGTCAGAAACCTGTCTCAGAAAGCAAGGAAAGAATTTTCGGTGGAATTGACCCACGGTTCTTGGGAGGGGGATAATCAATCCATGGGAACCCTGGCTAATTAAGTACACTGGACAATGGTTCAAAACTTCGCTTGCAATATTTAGGAATTCATGATGAATTAACGCCTCGAGGTTAAAATATAAGCGCCGTCTCGATGGGCAGGGTCTTATTTATAATTCTTCCCACCCAACTCCCGCATATCCGGTTGTTGAACTGATCAGCCTTTCTAATCTCTTACACACCACTTTACACAAAATGAATACCCACCGTAGATGCAACAGGGGGGATCCAGATACACATCCATATATCCGGCTGGTGGATGCGATGACAGTCGTCGCATAACCAACCACGCAGACCAAGGTTAGAACTCGGCTGTTGCTTCAAGAAAAGCTTCCCTTACAGCCGGGGTGATTCACAGCAAGTGTTCTCAATTCCACCTGGGCTGGCACCTAGCAGAAATATAAGCAAGGTAGTGCAGGTTGTGAGGAAAACAGCCTAAGATGTTTTTGTCCGGATGCCCCGTCGGTAGAAGTACGGGCGTAGCTGATCAGTCCGGGTTAACTAGTTAACTACGCCAAATAAAACTGTTGATATTATCCCATCCCATGCACAAAATTCTCTCTCTCTCTCTCTCTCCCCCTCCCTCTCTCTTCTCTTTCTCTCTGGGTTCTCTTCTTCTCTTGTATCCACGCGGGGGGCATCCATCTAAATAACTAAGCGCTCTCTGATGCTGGTCAAGCTCTGCGGATGTCCGTCTTGATGTCGTCGTAAAATATCCGTTTCCTTCCTCCTAGCATCCTCCCTTTATATAATAGTACATAATAACTAGTTACTAAGTCTGGATTAGTTATATTGAATTGCTGTTCAACTTACAATATAAATGCTATATTTATGTTCCAACTGACGCCTCCAACACCGCTGTGTCCATGTTGGCCCAAACCTCCCTCGGCCATCCCCGAAGCCGGGACCCACTAAGAAAGGCCAGCAACCCCATTCATTATAGGCGGCTGGTACGCCGATCCAGAACTCCGCATCTTCGACAACAAATATTACCTCTATCCCACTGTCTCTACCGCATACGACTGCCAGAAGTACTTTGAGGCATTCGTCTCCACAGACCTAGTGACCTGGATAAATGTCGGGCGCATCCTTGACTTCAAAGATGTACCATGGAGCACCAACCGCGCAGCCTGGGCGCCCTCAGTCGGCTGCAAAGACGGCATCTACTACCTCTACTTCTCAGCCGGGGATGGTGTGGGCATTGGTGTGGCGTCTTCAAGATCGCCTGAGGGTCCGTTTGTTGATGTCCTCGGGAAGCCCTTAATAGGAGGAGAGATGTTTGGAGCGGAGCCAATCGATGCAATGGTATTTATGGATGACGATGGGCGGAGCTACTTGTATTGGGGCCGGGGGGGGGGGGGGGGGGGGGGGGGGTCATGCCATCGTAGCTGAGTTAGGAGATGATATGGCTTCGTTTAAAGGAGGGCATTAGAGAGATTCCGCTCGAGCAGGAATACGTGGAAGGTCCGTGGATGATGAAGAGGCGGGGGATGTATTATTTCATGTATAGTGTCGGTGGGTGAGTTTAAGCACCCCCTTTTTTTTTTTTTTTTTGGTGGTCCCTTTTAACTACATACAGCCCCATGTCCCGTATATATTTAAGACCCCTCCCCCCCTTTTATTACCCCCCCGCCCTCCTTACTCCCTTCTGTTTATTTTGAAGCTCCTTTTGCATCCTATCACGACTCAAAAAACCCGTTCTCATGCTGATGAACTTCCCACAAACAAAGATGGGGTGACTCGTCCTACGCTGTCAAATATGTCAAAGCAGACAATCCACTTGGTCCCTTCGACGGCCCAGCCAAGATGATCCTCAGTAGTGAATTAGCTATCGGCACAAGCACTGGGCACAACAGCGCCTTCAACATTGGGGATGATTACTACATCGTCTACCATCGACGGCCCATAGATGATTATGAGCGCGATCACCGCGTTAGTGTGCATTGACAGGATGTATTTTACCGATGATGACGAGATTGGGGTTGTTAGGATTACAAATGAGGGGGTGGACGAGAGACCGTTGTGAGCGAATATTGAAATTGGCATGACTCGGGCTTGTTCCATAATGGGGTTTAATGATAGATGCAATTCATTGATTTATGCTAGCGTATCTGCGTTTGGTAACTAATAGAGTTAGCAGTTACGTATGAGCCACGACCGTTTGACGGAAGCTTGCTATTTATAATTCTCTCAATTAACGTAACTTATTCGTTTCCAATGTTGTCATACGTTTTTTATCGCCGTTGCAAATGCCATCATCCATAACACCCAGTAGTTATTCCAAGGGAATCACAAATCACCAAAAAAAAATAAATTAATAAATAAATAAATAAATAAATAAATAAATAAAAAATAAATAAATAAAACAACCCCATATTCACAATCATACAGTCTGGGTAATCCCGACACCCCCACACCCCTCAAAACACCCCGTCGGTTTCCTGGGATCGTAATAGCCACTGCCATCCTCATCGTCCGTCTCACTCTCTGCGTCCGCTAAATTCCCCTTCCTCACCAATAAACCACCAGGCGCAGTACTCTTTCCCTCTTCACCTCCCGCACCTCCTCCCTCATCCTCATCCTCGTCCTCCCCAAGTGGATTCTTCTTAACCCTGCCAACCCCAACAGCCGCCACCCCACCGGTCCCCACAGCCGTAAACGAGCTCTTAAACCCGCCCTTCTTAAAACCTCCCCCTCCACCTCCAGGCCCTTTCACCTCTGGCTTTCCCCCCTCATTCAACTTCTCGCTTTCAACCCTCACAATCCCCGCTTCCTCATCTCTTTTCCTTTCATCTCTGCGCGCTCTCTCCGCTGCCTGTGGGTCCCTGGATAGTTGTTTGAGGTCGCGCAGCCGCTTGCGGTGCTGGTGGTCGTAAGAGCCAATGTGTGCTTCGTATTCTGGGTGGCGGGAGTAGGATTTACTACAAAGAGTACAGGTGAAGGAAGTTAGGGCTGAGCGGGCAGATTCCGTTTTTGGAGCTGGATTGGTGAAGCCGCGCTGTAATTTAATTGCTTTGTTAGTTCGGAAGCGTGGGGTGGGGGGGTTGGGTTTGCTTGGGGGCGAGTGAAGATGGACAAACTGGCGGCATTGTTTAGTCTGTTAGATAATGCTCTCCAGATGTTGGGATCTACGTAAAAGCACTTGAAGCATCGGCAGTGGTGAGATGATATTATGTAACCATTTACTTTGCGCTGTGTGATATTGTAGCTTAATATCAACTGTTCCCACCTTCATCCGAGAGCGCTCCGTCAATGAAATGATAGGCATTCTGCCAATGGCAACAAAAGCGGTGAGCGGAGTCCGGGGAAAATAGCTCGCTGACCAATCACAGACCGGTAGTTAAATGCTGATTCCATTGTCAGCTTCATTTTTCTTGCAGATATTCCATAGATTCAGAGATATATAGATGTACGGATATGTTTGACAGCTCTCTTTGACGCCATTTTCCACTGGTTTGCAGCTTATATCCCTTGCTTATAGATACTCTCTTTTGGCATCTCTTTGCCGTCTTTCTTCTCCCTCATCCATCCCCAATGCAATAAGATATCAAACGAACGCCCAGCAATGGACGAAAAGCCCCACGCTTCTGGCCAGAGAAGGTCAGCCGAGATCGACCAAGCCTCCCCCATATTGCTGCAGGAGCTAGAGCCATCTCCTATTGAGTGGTCTCCGGACTTAGAGTGGGGAGAATACTTCCCCAACACCCGTAGCGGCAATGAAGGCAGATGCAATTGTAGATACAACCCATTCCGATATCTAAATCTGGGTCTGGGACTAAGCGGAAGGGGTTGGGAATACTGGCGTATGCATCGTCCTCAAATCTCATGCAAACAAATAATCATCCCATCTAACCATTTTCCACCAGTATCTACCCTCCAAAGAACCTCGACCTATCCGCCCACTATCTTTCTAGGGCTACATCTTTCAAACACTTCCATAATCCCTCTCTTCACAGGCTCTGTACCATCTGCGGAACCATTCCTCCTCCTGACCCGCCCACTATACCAATCCCCAGCCCTAGAACCCTTCCTCCTTACTATTCCGGTACTTACCCACCTTGCCTCCGGTGTAGCCCTGCGCATCCTTCGTGCCAGACGCCGTACCCGCCTCTACGGCGCCGAGACACACGAACAGCGTAATGAAATTCGCTCTTCCGGCCACTGGAAGTATCCTAGCGTCCAGGCGCGGCTGGGGTATATGCTCTTGCCTCTAATAGCATCGCACGTGCTTGTTAACCGGGTTGTGCCTCTCTATGTGGACGGGGGTAGTTCGGGGGTTGGATTGGGATTTGTGGCTCATGGCATTGCAAGGTCACCGTGGCTCATGAATCTGGGGTACGCGGCGTTTGTGGGGGTAGGGGTTTGGCATTTTGTTTGGGGGTGGGCATGGTGGATGGGGTATAAGCGGGAAGTGGCGGAGACGTGTAAGGGGAAGGGAAAGAGGGTGGGGAGGAGCAACGGGCCTAACGGCGGTTTTCTGGGATCGTTTGAAACAGGAGGTGAGTTTAGAAGAAGGTCGAGGAAGGTAAGGTGGATTGTCAATGGGATTGCGGCGATGGGAGCTGGGTTATGGCTGGCAGGTGGTTTGGGGGTTGTGGGACGGGAAGGACTGGGGAGTGGTTGGGAAGCGAGTGGTTGGGATAAAATCTATAGAGAGATACCAGTGCTGAGCTGGGTTTTGGGGTTGCAATGAGATGATTTAGGCTGGTGTATGTGATAGGATTCTGTTGTTGGATTCATTTTTGCCATGCACGGTATAGATAGGTATGTATTTGAAACTCTGGTATTGATTTGAGGCATTTGAAATGACATGACTCTTACAGTTTAGAACCATCCGCATGCTACGAGGGAGGCATTTTCAAGTAGTTATATATCTACAGGCCAAGAGGATGCTCGATAAGTCCTTCAGGAAATGAGGCACTGATGAGTGGCGTGCACCGGACAACCGAATTTGCATCAATTCAACCTGATCAAAACACTGCAGCAGATAATCTCAGACTGTATATGTTTTATACCGTTTTTATACCATGTGTGTTTTCCACTTATCATTCAGAAAGGAGACACAGATCTGCTTACTCAAGGTTCGAGCCAACTCGGCATCTCTGGGTCGGATGCCATCTCGGGAGAGGCTTTCGCGGAAACCAATTATCAACGCCGGCAATCACGGGAACAGGCCGTATACAGTTGAAGGAAAAGATATGGAATCGAAATAAACCCCAGAGTTGTTTTTTTTTTTTTTTTTTTTGAAGGATTTAGCCTTCAATTTAACTTGCTTCTGTAATTTTTCATGGTCGCTGCTGTTTATGCGGTTATTCTTTGTGAATCCCTGGCCGAACTTAGCGTGCGGGATACCGAACGCGCCGGCAGAGTTGATGCCGAATGCACGCTAGCTAAATGCTTGAACTTGGCTATACTTCATAACTGCAACTCACGTCCCTCGGAATAATAACTTGAGAGGAGAAAAGATAAATAAATAAATAGGAAAAGAAAAGAAAGGAAAAGAACAAGCAAGGCCACTATTCGGGACGAGTCGTTCAAATTATCATTATTATATTTTTCCTTCTGACGACACTTGCTGCATTAAGTAGGTCCCGTACCATCATCCATCCCCTTTTCCCATTGTCACATAGAAACTCTATCGGAACTATATGACTCCGCTTATCTGCAGCCTAGGATGACCACTCACACAATTCTTGTCCTCCGTGGTGATGGGATTGGCCTCGAAATTACCGCAGAAGCCGTCAAAGTCCTCTCCGCTTTCTCTTTGAAAAAACGCACTTTTGACCTCCGCAGCGAGCTAATCGATGGCTGCAGCATCGACACCGACGGCACCCCAATAACAAAGACTGTCATACAGGCAGCTCTAGACTCTGACGCGGTTCTATTTGCCTCCGTGGGCGGGCCCAAGTGGGACGGTGTCCGACACGACCTAGAGGGTCCTGAGGGCGGACTTCTGCAGCTGCGAAAGGCGATGAATGTATATGGCAACCTGCGACCATGCATCTCGCTGTGTAAGGCGGTGACGAGAGAGTTTAGCCCGTTTAAGGAAGAAGTGGTGGAAGGTGTGGAGTTTTTGGTGTTGCGGGAGAATTGTGGAGGGGGGGGGGGGGGGCGCATATTTTGGACGAAAGATGGACGAGCAGGATTATGGTAGAATAATTCCCGTGTTTTTGATATTTTAGGATCGCTAGATATACATGAGTATGCCATGTACTGTACTCATCATATATGCGCTCCACCAGCAATGGGACGAATGGGGTTACAGCGCCCCTGAAGTCCGTTGCATCGCCCGTCTAGCCGCCTACCTTGCCCAGCACCACACAAGCCCTACGTTTTTCCTCTGGACCTCTTCCCATCATCTCCTTCGACAAAGCCAACGTCCTCTCCTCCTCGCGCCTATGGCGTCGAGTAGTCACTGAAACCATCAGCAGAGAATTTCCGCAGCTAAAACTCACGCACCAGCTCGCTGACAGCGCCTCACTGCTTCATGGCTACCAACCCCACGCATGCTCAACAGCGTGCTGCTAACTGATAATACATTTGGTGATATATTGTCTGACCAGGCTGGATCAATCGTCGGTAGTTTCGGCGTATTGCCAAGTGCGAGTTTGAGCGGGGTCCCTGGTGAGAGCGAGGGCGAGAGTGGGATGGTTGGGTTGAAGGGCCTATATGAACCCTCTCATGGCTCGGCACCGGAGTATGTTTTCGATCTTTTTTTCCCTTCCCGGTTTGGGGGTCTTCCAAGACAAAAAGAGTATATATACGCTAATCTATGTCTCACCATTACAGCATCGCTGGTGATAGCAAAGCGAACCCCGTCGCCATGATGTTCCGCTACTTGTTTGACATGGAGGCTGAGGAACAGATAGATGATTGAGCGGGCGGTTTCCTCTGTATTGTAGTCCGGGATCCGCACGCCAGATCTAGGTGGGAAGGCAAAGACCGGGGAAGTGGGTGATGCGATTGTGGAATTTATTAAGAAGGATGGGGAGATTGTAGGCTCTGGGCGATAAGTGTTCTTGAAAAACGGGCCTGAATTTAGGAGGCTGGGCTCTTTTTTTGAAGGAGGGGGTTAGGGTCCCATGCAGATTTTTCTGAAATGGGTGGGAGGTGGAAATACTCTTGATACCAATGTATTGAGTAAGCTCCTTAACGCAGAATCGAACTAGAATTTGCACATCCTACCGACAAAATCTATTTCTACGAATTGAAAATGCGTCTCTTTTTCTGAATGCAGGTCAGGGGTTCACTTCATGTGACACTTCTGAACTAATCAAACATTTCAAAAGTCCTACCAAATCCCACGTCCGAATTATCTATTAATAACCTAGCTTTGGTGTGAAGTTTTATTATACCTGTTATTTTATATCAGAATTTCTGGGGGAAAAATCTTAAGAGTTTTACTATATCCAGGGCGCAATGCTAGGCGTCTAGAATGTATATGGTCCCCCAATCTAGTTATTATAACATCATGATTTCTTGCCCTTTGATGCCCTATTCATTGGGCCCCAATTCGCTCTAGGATTCATCTGGTACCTTGTCAATCGCTTCTTCCGATGTGCCGCCAGCACAGTCCTACCTAGCGCCTCGTCAAACACAATATTCAGTGTGCTTGGATCCGGACCTATACGAGTCGGAGACGGCGATCTCCTGTACCCTCCTATTCCTGGAGAATATGATCGCTGTCGCTGCTGCTGCTGCTGCTGATTTGGAACCGCATCTCCATTCTTCTGGTGCACACCACCACCGTCTTCAGCACCGCTTTTGCCATCACCACCAGCACTTCTCGATCCAGCACCAGCTCGATACAACGCAGCCTCAATTTTCATCACCAGGTCCGAAAACTCTCTCGACCCCTCCGCTGCCGCTAGTACATCCCTCTTCAACCCTCTCAACTTAGCTCCAGCGTCATCCTCACCTCCATCAATACCACCCACAATCTCCCTCTTCCTCCTCATAATCCCCATCCCCGCAGTTCCCTCTCTGATCTTCCCCTCCTTAACCGGGAACTTCTGCCTCACCCACTCACGTATAATCTCCCATATGACATTCCACGGCGCATCTGTGCGCACGGAGCCGGCCTTCGTATGACTACGGCTAGATCTATAACCGAGATGATGCAGGGCACCGCGCAGACAGTCTTCGGAGATTGTTTGCGTGTGTACAACTTTGCAGACGTAGCTGGGCATTAAGAAGAAGGGGTGAGGGTCGAGTTTGGCTGGGTCAGTGCGCGGTATTAGGAGGGATGGGGAACCCTTTTCTTTAAGTGTGGTGAAAGGTTTCGTTTCCCCATTTGTACCAGAAGGCGAAGCAGCTGCCGGTTCGGGGGCCGGTGTAGTTTCTGGTGAGGGACCGCCCATATCCAAATCCTCTTCCAATGCGGTTGATAGCATCCCTTCAATCCTCCCCTTCGTCGGGTATGTTTCCTTATCCGCACCAGGAAGCAAATCCAAAATCCGCTGAATAAATACGTTATTATGCAGCGGGCCTCCCCACATGGGTCCAGCAAGGTGCAACTTGAACCCGCAATGCTCACATGTAGGTGTCGTGCTGGGGCCCTGCGCGAATCCGTAATGATAAAAAGGGTTGCCCTTTCTGTCACTTTTGCATTTATTGATGGCGAGCGGCTGTGTTTTCCAAGCCCCGCAGCCGTTGTCACATGTATACACAATCATAGATTTTCCAGCGATGAATTTGACCGCCGCAGGAGAGCGGTGCATACGCACGAAAACTCTTGCGTAGAAATCGATGGAGAGAGAGAGGAGTGGCTCAATGGATAGACCATATTTGGCGCCAGAAGTAGCTATTGCATGCAAGATCAGTCGCAGGCCAGCTTCGTGCGACTGCGGACCTTTGAAGGGCAGGCCGCCGTAGAGTGCATACGTTTTTTCGGGGTACCCGTTGGACGCGAAAACGCTCGCATCCGTGCAGGTGACGCAGAGGAGGCCACCATCAGTGACGGCTTGCACGGCAGCGTCCAGGAAAGGCGCTGCAGTGCCATAGGGATCCAGATCAACGACGTCAAACCTTCCAAAGTGCGTGCCATCTTTGTTGGGTTTGGGGCCTCCAAGGATACTATACATGTACGCGCAGGCATCGCCATTATTGGGTACGACGACATCACCAACACCGTTACGCTGAATGTTCAGCTTCATGGACTTGATGGCGTCCGGGGAGAGGTCATTGGCAACGATGCAGGTTGTGAAGGGGATTTCTTTTGCATAACGGAGAGCGCGAAGACCGGTTGCAGAGAGGGCGTCGAGCACCGAGAAGGAGGGTTTTTTTTTTTGATCGTTTGCAGCCGTATTTTTTGTAGGAGGGGGGGGTTCACAGCTTCCTTGAACTCTATTTCCAGCACTGGCATCACCCTCCTGTCCCTTCTCCATACCCTCCCCCCATTCTTCTTCCCTTCCTCCCAAATCCTCAGCCTCCCTCTTCCTCTTTTTCCCTTTTAATCCCCTTTTAAGAGCTGAGGCTCTCATCATTTTCTCCCTTTTCACAATCATGGCATGTTCCCCATATGCCCGGATCGCCAGGACACTCAAGTCGCGATTAAATTGTTGGATAGGATTGTAGAAAACAGACTGAACCTCGGGTTGGTGTTGTTGTCTCTGCTGCTTTTTGCCCTGCCGTTGTGGCTCTGCATCAACCTCTGGTTTACCTCCCTCTAACCCAGTTCCAGCTTGCAAGGCGGTAGTGGCCATAGTCGTCGACGAAGCTGCATTTGGTTGTTCTCGTTGCTGTCGAGGAGTAAGTATGTATGCCAACCCCTCCTTGACGGCCTCGTACTCCTTGCCATCATGCTGTATAATCTGGCCCGCGCTCAATTCTGTGCCCAATTCCACAGCTGCGGGGATAGAGCTGGAGTCCTCCGCAGTCTCCGCCATTGCAGATCGGGTCGTTTTCGTGAGAGTGCCTGAGTATGAGCAAAAATGCAATCGCGATCGTTGGCCCAAAAGAAATTTGGTATCTCTTCCCTTGAAAACACTCCTGCGATTGGTCGATGTTATACGGAGCCGTGGAGTCGGCGCGCGATGGCTACCACTAGCTCGAGCTGTAGTTTTGACCGTCGCTGTTAGCGAGCCTGCCGCCAAACATAGCAATAATCTCAGTCTATACAGGTACGTGTGCTTCTTGAAAGTGAGAAGGGAAGCATTGATGGCCTACAGTGTCTTCCATATATACGGAGTAGGATTGTAGGACTGTGTTTGTATTTTGGCATATCAGAAACTTTTTTTTTATTTGCTCCCAGGACAATCAGGCATCACGTGAAAAGTTTCTTGACCGAGTTTCAGGGGCAAGGGAGAAGAGAAGAGAACAAGATCAAAATGAAGGGTGAATGTCCCATTATTGATGATGGCGTGGATTAATATCATTGTGAAATTCACTGAAAGAGATCTATGCAAAGTATCTACTTAATGAGCAGTAGGAGAAGTAGTATTATTACCCAAAAATGAGACTCACCTGAAGGATCATCTACAACCAACTTCTTGCTTTAATTTCTCCACTGTAAGAATATCAATCAAATAAAGAGTAACATCAATACACAAAATAAGGAATCATTATGCTTCATTCTCATTCATTCCCCAGCACCCGTCAGATACAACAAAGTAACCTTTTCATCTCTCAAAAAGAAATAGAATGTGTGGTGACAAAACACCATTACTCTCTCCGTTCATCAGGCCCACCAATGAAATAAAAAGAATACGTGAAAAGAAAAGGCGGAAATTATTAACTGTACACAACAAAAGAAAACGAGAGAAACATTATTATAAATAAATGAAATGTTGCCGTATACACATACACACACCAAAAAATAATAAAAATAAAATAAAAAAAAAAAAAAAAAAGAAGGGGGGGGTGGCGGTTGGTCTCTAATTGAAATCAAATCAAGGCAACCTCACCTAATAGCAAACTCTTTATGACACAACATTGTACAATGTATACATCTATCTAATTTTCTAACCCCTTCTCAAAACTTCGACATTGCAATTGCAATAGCCTGCGTATCGCTATGGCTAATACTAACAGAAACCTCCTTAACACCAACCTTCTTGGCAGCAGCTGCTGCATCACCATGTAACTATACAACCAAATTTCCGTTAGTAAAACTACTGGAGTTCCAAAAAAGACCACCCACCCACACAAACACGAGTTAAAAACTTACAGTAACAACTGGCCCCCCATTCCCATCAACTCCAATCTCAATATCCCTCAGCGGCGCCCCAGCCCCTTTCCCCTCAACACCCAGACTCTTAAACACAGCTTCCTTGGCACTCCAGCGCCCAGCGAACGAAGCCTGCGGCGAGGGAGCACCACGGCAATATTTCTGCTCACTAGCCGTGAAATTCCGCTCGATGAATGTCTCATTTTCAATGTTGATGGAAGCGATACTCTCGACATCAACGCCCACTTTAGAGTTCTCCGCCGCGGTCGCTTTGGCAAGGGACTCAACCATCTGCCGCGTCTGTTGCATCTGCACATCCTCAGCCTCCGTCTTTTGTTTGTTATTCCTGCCGTTACCGTTGCCATTGCGGTCGTTACCAACGTAACCGAGTGTTGATGTCATCTCATTGAGCTCGACGCGGATATCCGGATTCAGGAAGACCTTCGACTCCATCTCCTCGGCATAGGGTGATTTATCCTTCGCGACGAAGAGGCTGTTGTTAATCAGGCCGTTGTGAAAGTAGCGGTATGCTTTCTTTTGCCGCGCTTCGACTTTGCACTTGTAGGATTCGAAGGTGGCCTGGTCGAGAGTGGCGAAAAGATATTTGGGATGAATGCCGATGGCCTGGGTTCCCTTTTGGCCGAATCCGAAGGATGTGACGGAGAACGCCTTGATGCCGTCCGTCTGCAGGCTTCGGCTTGGATAGACGATGTAATCAAACTTCTCCATGACCTTGTCGATGTTATCGGCGTTGCGGTTGCCGGGGACAAGGCCGCTGTTCAACACCTGGAGAGCGCCGTTGAACATGAAACCACCTGCAGCACCCTTGGGATGGCCGGTGAGGTACTTCTGGAATATACCTAAGAGGGCGTTGCCCTTCTGCCGTCCCAGATGCTTCATCTGCTGGCAGACGACATCGCACTCGTTCTTGTCGTTGGCGACAGTGGACGTTCCATGGAAAGAAGCAACGTCGAGATCATCTATTGTAAGACCCCAGGTCGCGAGTGCACCACGAAGAGGAGCGATGCGAGAATCCTGTCTCCAGAAATTGTTGCCCAAGCTAAACGCAGCATCCTTTTCTTGACGAATAGCCTCACGTTTAATATGTTCGACTCGCTCCTGCATATACTCGTCTTCGTTAAAAGGCTCGACGGCCTGCGCCTTCATCGCCTCGACTTCTTCATTCAAGTACAAAAGCTCCGACTCCTGCCATTGTTTAATTTGAGCCTTTCGGAGCTCAAGCTGGCGACGACGGTACTTAATGTCCAAAAGTGGCGAGGGGAACTTGCCAGCATTCTCACGGGCGGTGGTTAAAACACCCTTCCCGGGAGCCGGAACGGATCTGCCAATCTTGTCCGTGGCGGTCGCGGTGAAGCCAATGATACCATAGATGGGCACACCCATATCCAGCGCAAGCTGCGCGCTCATGATCAACTGCATACCGCAACCCTGAGACTCCATGAATCCACTCCGAGTCGTGGTAGTGGGTCGGGACATTTCCTGCGGTGTGCGGCCATGGGCGAATTCCTTCTCCGCATTGCTGGTAGCCTGCATGTTTGCGAACTCATACGATCCTTCTTCCTGAAAGTCATCAAAGCCACCCACAAGGCACACACGCGCCTTGCCTTCGACAATAGTTTCGTAGCCAATGTCGATAGACTCGACAGCCGTAGCACAGGCACCGACCGGTGTCTTGATGGGGCCCGTGGAAGAGAGCAAGAGCATGTTAACCCATGCGCTCATGGTGTTGATGAAAGATTCTTGCAGAATATCCTTTTGAAGAGGCTTGTCCAAGAAGCGATCCTTGTACATGCCCCGTAGAGCGTGGGAACCACCGATACCAGAACCAATACAGTTACCAACTTCGGAGATATGAACGTATTTGTAGAATTCGTACGGATCAGTGATACCAGAGGCAAGCAGCGACTCGGCAGTGCAGACAAGGACGTAAAGAGTGACCGGATCCACCTGGCTAATAATATCGTCGGGAATACCGTAATGTTTTGGGTTCCAGCCAGTTGGGATCTGGCCAGCGACAAAGCGATCGAACTTGAGAGCCTTCGGTATCAAAAGATTGGCACCCTTGAGCAAGCGAACAGTGTATTCACTTGAGTCCGGAATTTCGAAAACTTCAACCTTATCACCGTGCGCACGTTTGAACTCCTCAGCCGTCTCCTTGGATGCTTCAAAGGCATCTAGGTCCTCCTGCAAAATAACCTCCTGCAGAAGCACCTTATTATTTGGATCATACCCATTAAAGAGCTCTGGTTCAATAAGACGAATACCAGAGTGTGCAAGAATGTACTTCTCGTATTTAGCCTTCACATCCTTATCGTTGACCGGTTCGCCGGTCTTAGCATCAACCCAACCAGAATAGGGTTTACCCTTGATGGGCCCGTTATGGTTTTTGATCAGGCCCATCAGCCACGCCATCTCAATGCAACCTTCCAGAGAGAACTTGCCGTAGGCCTCCATCTCCCAGCGAGTTCTGGAATTTCCCCATGGGCCAATTTCAGCAAAACCAGTAACAACAACAACTTTATCCAAGTTGACCATACCCTTGAGATTAGCATTGAGCGGCTCGATCTCCTCTTTCCAGTTGGGCAGTTTGGGGAACTCAAATTTGATATTCGCACGGGGTTCCGTGATGACCTTCTGGTACAAGGCTTCGCTACTTTCGCCATTGACCACCTTGTTTTCCAGGGTGGTTTCCTTCATGACAGCTTGACGAACTGTGCTTGTTTCCGTGATTCCACTGCGAAGTTTCTTCATCAGCGCATTAACGTCGGGCAGGAATTGGAAGCCGCCGTTCAAATCTGCAAAAACAGGCTCGTTCTGGCATAGGTCGACAATGGCTGGTGCCATGAGACCGAGCAAGTTGAAAGCCATTTCCTGTTGTGAGAACGTCCATACGCCAAGTTTCTCGACGCCTTCGGCAAGGATGTCATTAGAATTCATGAGACCGGTGGAACGGGTCCAGCCAATCACAGCACCGCAGATAGTGAGATAGCTGGCCCAGTTTTCCGAGAACCAGCGGTTGAAGAGCGTCTCCAATCCCAACTTCGATTCGGAGTAGAGGCCATCGTTACCAAAGGTGCCGTGGTTGGGAGAAAGAGGTAAGATAACCTGTGCAGGCCTCGTTTCGAAGCCCCGCTCCTGCTTTTGCGTTTTGACAAAACCAAGCAAGCGGTAGATGTTGGTCAACATGACACGATGAGCAAGTTCGGATTTCGAGTCGATGCTATCGATTTCCCGTCCATTCTCTGAGATGGCGGCGAATGGTACGATATAGTCCAGATCCCAGCCTAGGCCATTCTTTGGATCGTAAATGTAGTTGACAAGAGCTTGGACATCTTGTTTACTGCCTTGGTTGAAGGGCACAACAACCAATTGCGATCCTCGCGCACCATAGCGGGTGTACATGGTCTGGTAGTACCCGGTGACCTCTCGAGAAAACCGACTAGTGGTAACTACAACTTTAGCACCACCGCTGATCATACCTTGCAACACCGCCGCACCAATCGATCCCGCACCGGCCCCAGTCATCAACACATTCTTGCCATAGAAGCTGAGACCGGCACGAGCAGCAGATTCTAGCCCATCGAGATAGATACCAGTGAGTTTCTTGCTATATTCCCAGCCATTTGCCTCCTTCTTTCTGAGATGGAGGAAAGGAACCGTCTCAACTTTCCCAGGCCGTGTATTCCCATTTATGTTGCCATTCATACGAGATCTTGAAATATTTCGGCTTCCCTTCTTCGCATTATCATTCTCCTGGGGCATGATCTGCGTTTCGTTCATGGACAAGGCACGCAAGACTTCTCGATATAAAGAGTTGAATTGCAGCTGTGACGACTTGGAGAGCTTATGCTGCTTGCGAATCAGCTTGTAGACACTGCGGAGGTCGTTCTGTACTTTAGTACGGTTGCTGTATTCGGAAATTGGCCCGCCTTCCGCCATGGCCTTGACGTAATGCTCGAGTTTTCTGGCGCTTGTTCGAGGAACCTCGCTGTAATTGATGTTACCGTGTGAATCAATGACCGTTTGAGGTCCAGTAGGGATTGCGACATCCTTGTAGACAGGATTGGCATGGAGAACCTCCTTGCAGTTCTCAATGAGTTGCTGACCAAGCTCCTTTGCGAGCTTGTAGGTTTCACCGCGCTCAGTGGGGCAGTTGTCGATATGGTACTGCATAAATTCCAGAAGGAGAGGATTGGACCGATTCATGATGCGAATACATTGGCTGACAATTTCACGATCGACAACCTTCAGTCGGCCGAAAATAATGTCATAATACATGCTGAGCGCGTCCTGTCTTGCCCAATTCCAGGACGAATCGTATACTCGAACCTTGAGAGGGTCAAAGGATGGCTCAATACCAGAGGCGTATGTGTCACCATGTTCCGCGTGCCACAGATCAAGTTGCGCTTGAAGAGTAGCTTGAGCCTCTTGAGACACCAGGAAAGCTTTATCGCCAGCCCGCAGGTCCCTCTTAAGATACCTCGCAGTAAGTTCGAGTTGCTGCTTGAAGAACGCCCGTTGGTCTTTAGTTAAGGCGTCAATAGCGGCTGGGTCCATCATCATGCCAGAGCCTCCGCTACCTGAATCTGCACCAGCAGAAACTGTGGAGAGGCTAATGCCCGCATTTGCGGCATATTTGTTGGCAACATCATCCAAATATGCTTTGGCATCTGCCTCAGAACCCAATCGCGAGGCAGGTTCCATGGTCAAAGCGAGCAGGAGAAGGCCGTCTTGTCGTCCGGACTGCAGTCCCCATCTCGTTTCAAGATACTTTCTAACAGCAGTAATATTAAAACCACCAGGCATTTTGGATGAAACGAGTCTGGCGACAAGTGATGAAGATTGTTTGCCAAGCTGGCCATTAAACATAGGTTGGATCGCAGCACCCAATTCATCTAATGGAGTATCTTCTGGTTTCTCTGGTGTCGAACCGAATTCCTTTCCAAGATCACCCAAAATTTCATTTTGTAGGGTAGACTTGCCTGTAGGTTTGCAGCAAGTTAGTTTAGCACTTACAATTGTAGAATCTAAAGAAGGAAAATAGAAAGGAGAGCAAAATAAGAAAATAAACACTCACCTCCAACAAGATCCTTAATTGCTTTCGTTACTGGTACATCAGCCAGTGGCTTCTTCAACTTCTGCGCTACAAGCACTCTAAGAACATCCAGAGCTGTGACTGGCGCATCAGAAACTGCTGCAGCAGGCCCAGCTGAGGAAGGTGGCGCTGGAGCTGGAGCTGCAGCAACCGGAGCTGTAGCCGGGGTAGCAGCGGAAGGGGAAGGAGCAGCGGTAGCTTGAGCAGCGGTGGGTGTAGGCTGTGGTTCCTCTTCTACAGGGTCGACATCGTAATAAATCTCCTTTGCATCTTTGTTATAGCACAGAATCTGACGTTGGACAGAGGTAGCAGCATCGTATGCTTCGTATTTGGAGGCGATTGTGCGCCGGGCCATTCCACCCAGGGTATCGGCGGGGCCAATCTCAACAATGCGCTCTGTCCGTTTCTCCTGTAGGATGACATCCTGGGTCTCAATCCATCTGACTGGAGAGGCGAATTGGTATGCGAGAAGCTCTACGAGGAGCGTATGGGCGAGTTCTTGCTCGACTTCGGGACGCATATTGGATGGTTGATAGTGGGGAGGTAGAGACGAAGGAAGAGGAGGCACGGTAGGTATTGGGGGTGATGAGGAATTGGAGGGGTAAGAGTGTCGCAGGGTATTAGACAATCGTAGACCTTTTGTCGAATATATGCAGTGAAGTGATAAACGATCAATGACGGGAGCTGCTGTTTTTGCTTTTTCACTCCCAGAGCATAGAAAGAGGATGGGGGAGTATAAAAGAACGGTTGATTAAAAGAGAGTCGACAAAGGATTAATAATGAGAGAGCTGGAAGAGATCCCTTCTGGAAGCAAGGGGGTGAGATCTTGTCGACGGAGAGGGGGAGGATAACAAGATTGGTAATGGTAGAGGAGGATAGGAGAGGAAGAAGGGAGTTGGTGAGGTTGATGTCGAGTGAATGTGATGTTGTTGGGAAGGTTAAAGGCGAAGAAAATTATTATGTTGAAGTTTGTTTGTTCCTTGAAATTTTTAGTTTGCAGGTAACTTTCAACTGCTATGGGATTGGCTGCAGATATGGCCCCAAACGGGCGGTACCTTACAGCTTAGTCATATAAATACAGCAGATAACTATAGTTAGTTAACTAACGAGGTAGTTAGTTAATTAGTTATAACTACAGCAGATATACGGCAGATTACGGGTTCCTTCGCCCGGTTGGGACACTAGCACAGTAGAGAATAAGTGTAATGACAGGACTAAAACACCGCATGAATGGACCTCTGAGTCACAAATAACCTCATGGGGGTCTGGTAGTGGTCCGGGTATGGCCAAAATACTGGAATAATGATAATGGTAGATAAAGAACTAACTAAACTAATTGGGGTAACTGACAGCAGAAGAAGCATGTTTGTATTGAAACTCGGCCAATTCTTATCTCTAGGAAACACGTGATTAGGGTTGACATGATATCCACTGACAATCTGACACTAGCAGAATTAAATCCACATATCGGCTAGTTAGCTAAATTGGAGGTAGTTAGGGCTAATGCAGCTTTGCTAGTCATCGCTCCATAACTTGATAACTTGCCGCTTGTTGGGAGCTCTTTACCAGCGACCAGTAATAATAATCACTGGGGCGTTTGGGGCGTATGGGCGTATCCGCGCCGTAAAACCCTGCCAAGCCTTGCCCCATCCCGGTACACAATCCCACCAAAAGTTCAACCCTTTTTGGGTTTTTGGGGCTGCCCTAGTACCGCGCTAAACCCAATGAGAGCTCTCTGGTTCAACAATATGTATTACCGTACAGAAACCATACAAATACACATACATCCCGGTGTTTTAAAATACGCCTGTTTCTCTAACCTTAGAAATATTTTTTATTTCCCTAATGATGAGGACAGGCAATCTCGAAGGTTCAACTTCGATTCTTCCAATCCTCAACCTCTTCTCTCTTGTTTTTAAAACCCTTTCAAAATGCTATTCCACTGAACTCACGGACAAGCGGATTTATTTCAGCCATAATTCTGGAATTGTTCACTACCTATTGTTTGTTCCCTTCTTTATTCTTTTTCTCTACACGCCTACCACTTCATGATTTGATTGTTGTTGGTCCTGTCCTTCCCTCAACGTCCTTCGTTGTCCTCATCCTCATCCTGTCTGTCGGTGAAGTTGGGACACTAGATATAGACAAAAGTGGTAAGCTAACCCTGTTTTGCTAGAAATTGTATTTTCAATTTCTCCTCAGTCGCGCATGGCTGACTTTTTGATAACAGACATCCACCCCAACCCCCTCCTCGAATAAGATTCCCCTCCCTACATCATCATTATCATCATAGCCATGTACGGCACTTCCACTGGCCCTCAAACGGGCATTAATACTCCGCGATCCTCCCAATCCCTTCGCCCTCTCATCCTCTCCCATGGCTCCCTCGACTTCTCCTTCCTCGTCCCTACCTCCCTACATTTTCACGCTCAGCAACTCAGGGATAGCTTTTCCGCCTCTCTCCCTGCTCCCACAGATGAACTTGCCCAGGATGATGAACCATCCTCCGTTGAAGAGCTCGTTGCCAGATATCTGGGTTTTGTCGCAAGTCAAGTAGAGGAGGGCGAGGACGATTCCCAGGGTTCCTATCTCGAAGTCTTGAAGCTGCTCCTCAACGAGTTCGAACGGGCATTCATGCGGGGCAATGATGTTCATGCAATCGCAGGCTGTCTTCCAGGCATCAGTGCAAAGAAATTGCTCGTTGTTCAAGCTTACTATGCTGGTCGTGCGGCAGCAAATAGGCCCACGAAACCACACGAATCAGCGTTGCTGCGTGCAGCAGCGGACGGCAATGCGCGTCTGTACAGTGTGTTTGGAGGCCAGGGCAACATCGAAGAATACTTTGATGAGCTGCGAGAAATCTACGTTACATATCCTTCCTTTGTGGAAGACCTCATTTCATCGTCCGCAGAATTGCTTCAGTCCCTCTCGAGGGATCCTGATGCTATTAAACTCTACTCTAAGGGGATGGATATTGTTCGATGGCTGCGGGACAGCGACTCACAGCCTGATACCGATTACTTGGTGTCTGCCCCCGTCAGTTTTCCCCTGATTGGTCTAGTTCAGCTTGCCCACTTCATGACAACTTGTAAAGTGATGGGCAAACAGCCCGGCGAAGTCTTGGAGAGATTCAGCGGAACTACAGGCCATTCACAGGGTATCGTCACTGCTGCCTTGATTTCCACAGCTACCACCTGGGACTCGTTTGAAAAGGCTTCCAAAAACGCCCTGACCATGCTGTTCTGGATCGGAATGCGCAGCCAGCAGGCCTACCCTCGAACTTCGCTTGCCCCATCGATTCTGCAAGATTCAATTGAGAACGGTGAGGGCGTGCCAACTCCAATGTTGTCCATTAGGGATCTCCCCCGTGCAGCGGTCCAGGAGCATATCGATGCCACCAACCAGCATCTGCCCAAAGACCGCCATATCTCCATTTCCCTGGTCAACAGTGCACGCAACTTCGTTGTGACTGGACCCCCTATTTCTCTCTATGGTCTTAATCTTCGACTGCGCAAGGTTAAGGCTCCAACAGGCCTAGATCAGAATCGTATTCCTTACACACAACGAAAAGTCCGTTTTGTCCATCGTTTCCTCCCCATCACTGCACCCTTCCACAGCCAGTATCTGGCCTCTGCTTTTGAACAAATTACAGAGGACTTGGATGATTTGGTGATTCCGTCCAAATCGTTGCGGATTCCAGTCTATGATACCAACACCGGTGAGGACTTGCGGGCCAAGGACGAGGATATTGTCCCAGCATTGATTCGCATGATCACCAGAGATCCTGTTAACTGGGAGCATGCCACTGTTTTCCCCAACGCTACCCATTTGCTTGACTTTGGTCCAGGTGGTATTTCCGGCTTGGGCGTCCTTACCAACCGCAACAAAGATGGTACTGGCGTTCGAATTATCCTTGCTGGTGCCATGGATGGAACAAATGCAGAGGTTGGCTACAAGCCTGAATTGTTTGACCGCGACGAGGAACATGCAGTTAAATACGCTGTCGATTGGGTTAAAGAACATGGTCCAAGATTAGTAAAAACCTCTGTTGGCCAGACCTTTGTCGACACAAAAATGAGCAGACTGCTCGGTGTAGCCCCCGTCATGGTTGCTGGTATGACACCAACAACGGTCCCGTGGGACTTTGTGGCCGCGACGATGAATGCTGGTTATCAAATTGAACTTGCTGGTGGCGGATATTATAATGCTAAATCGATGACGGAGGCTCTTAACAAGATCGAGAAGAATATCCCTCCCGGTCGCGGTATCACCGTTAATTTGATCTACGTTAACCCACGCGCGATGGCCTGGCAAATTCCCTTGATTGGGAAACTGCGTGCTGACGGAGTACCCATTGAGGGCCTAACGATCGGTGCTGGTGTGCCATCCATCGAAGTTGCGAACGAATACATCCAAACACTTGGCATCAAGCACATTGGTTTCAAGCCCGGTTCCATGGATGCTATCCAGCAGGTTATCAACATCGCCAAAGCCAACCCTACTTTCCCTGTTATCATGCAGTGGACTGGTGGTCGTGGTGGTGGCCATCACTCGTTTGAAGATTTCCACCAACCCATCTTGTTGATGTACAGCCGCATTCGCAGATGTGATAATATCGTGTTAGTCGCCGGGAGCGGCTTTGGCGGGTCTCAAGACACATATCCCTACCTAACCGGCTCCTGGTCCCGACAATTCGGCTACCCTCCAATGCCCTTCGATGGCTGTCTCTTCGGCAGTCGCATGATGACTGCCAAAGAAGCCCATACCTCCAAAGCCGCCAAACAGGCCATCGCTGAAGCCGAGGGGGTTAATGACGATCGGTGGGAAGATACATATAAGGGTCCTGCTGGTGGTGTGATCACTGTCCGCTCCGAGATGGGCGAGCCAATCCATAAACTGGCCACCCGCGGTGTCCGCTTCTGGCATGAGATGGACCAGAAGATATTCTCCCTGGACAAAGCCAAGCGTCTCCCTGAGCTCAAGAAGAAGCGTGATTACATCATTAAGAAACTGAATGCCGACTTCCAGAAGGTTTGGTTTGGACGGAACTCGGCTGGCGACACTGTCGATCTGGAGGATATGACCTATACTGAGGTGGTTCATCGGATGGTGGAGCTTATGTACGTGAAGCATGAATCGAGATGGATCGACAACTCTCTGAAACGGCTTACGGGCGATTTCATCCGTCGTGTCGAGGAGCGCTTCACCTCTGTGGCAGGTCAACCGTCACTCCTGCAGTCATACTCTGAGCTTGATACTCCTTACCCATCGGTTGAGAAGATCTTGAGCGCATACCCTGAGGCGGCGTCGCAGTTAATTTCTGCACAAGATGTCCAGCACTTCCTGCTGTTATGCCAGCGTCGTGGCCAGAAGCCCGTCCCCTTCGTCCCTGCGCTGGATGAAAACTTTGAGTTCTGGTTCAAGAAGGACTCGCTCTGGCAATCTGAGGATCTTGAGGCCGTTGTTGGACGGGACGTAGGCAGAGTGTGTATTCTACAGGGTCCAATGGCTGTCAAGTAT